GTAAAAAAGTGGTATCATGAAACCAGTTTGTTTTCGTGAGACCCGTAAGATTATTTTTTTACACTTAAAACTTTACAGCAAAATGCTGTGAAGGTAAAAAAAACCGAACTTTCACAGCAAAAATACTGCGAAAGTTACTTTTACAACGTTTTGCTGTGAAGTTTCAAGTGTAAAAAAGTGGTCTCATGAAACCAGACCTATCTCACATTTTCAATGGATATTATTCCTAAATTTTAAAAACTCGGATTTGGTCCTTCACATTTGTCAATTTTTAACGGTTTTGGTTTCTATATCTAGTAGTTATTAACACACTCTATTAAATTCGATTAAATGAGGAGTATCCTGTCATTTGCACTCTATTAAAAAAAAGCATATTACATTTTTTATTTTAAATTGTAAAAAAAAGGTAGTGGTCATACCTTTTTTTACAATTTTAAAATTAAAAATAAAAATATTTTTTAATTTATAATATAAAATTAAGAAAATAATGAGAATGACCAAAATACCTCTCATTTAATTAGATCTAACAGAAAAAGTTAACGACCGTTAGACAAAGAAACCTAACCGTTGGGAACTGATAAATATGGTGAACCAAATTCGAGTTTTTAAGTTTAGAGACTATATCCGTTGAAAATTCAAAATGTTAAAGACCAAAATTGAACTTCACAGACTTAAGGGGGTGTCGGCAATTGCTTATTTAAAACAACTTATGTTTTTTTTGTAAAAGTGTTTATCAACTTATGTGGTGTTAAACCGTAGTTTTATAAATAAATAAAAAATGTTTGGATTAGCTTATGATGGTACCAAAATATAATAAACTGGTAAGTATTTCTTTTTTTTTTCTATCCAAACACTAAAAACTTCTTATTACCGATACCATACAAGAATAAGTTAATATGTTAGAAGGTAGTACCTTATCAAAAACTCCTTGTTACCAATCCAAACCGATATAAGTATTTTTTTTTCCATCCAAACACTAAAAACTTCTTATTACTGATACCACACCGAAATAAATTAATAAGCTGAATCCTAAAAATGCAATAATTGAATTTGTTTCTAAACGATAAGGTAAGAGTTATTATATGTCAATGTCAAATTTTCATTTGCAATATTTGTTGTTTATTTTTAATGTAAAAATGGGTTGTTTGAGAATGTCAAAGTAAGAAAATAATATAGTAATTTTTTGATAATAAAAATAAATATTATTTTTGAATAAAAATATTTAATTAAAAAGCATTGAATTTTAACTAACATTAAAAATAAAATAATTTTATTAATTTAGATAAATTTTATAAAAAAATTTAAATGAATATTAATGTATAAATAAATAGTTTTTGTCAAAAATATAAAAAATATAAACATGTTTTATTTATTTTGGATATCTTTGAAATGAAATTATTGTATATATTTCATATACTCGGAGTATAATATTTTAAGGGGTGTTTGGGATTGCTTATTTAAAATAACTTTTATTTTTTTATAAAAGTTTTTATCAATTTATTATAAGTTAGAATAATTTAACTTATTTAAAACTCTTTATTACCGGTTTGGCACCGATATAAGTTGTTTATCCAAACATTCAAAAATACTTATTACCGATGCCACAACAGAATAAGTCAATAAGTTGTTTTATAAGCAATCTCAAACACCCCCCTTATGTGTTTCTATAAGTGATAATGGTTCATTCGTCTCAAAATAAATGTAAAAAATTACTTCAATTCTAACAATTTCTTCTATCTAGAGATTACAACATTGATTATATTATTAAAATATTTTATAAATTAAATAACTATTATTTCTTTGTCCTAAACATTTAATTTTAAGACTTCTTATTGATAAAAATATAACAAATATTTCCCGTAATATGAGTTACTACTCCTTGATCGCTTATACTGTCCAAAACATCTGACTGCATTTTCCAACTGAAATGAAAAATGACTACTAAAGTTGCATTGTACATCCAGAATAGTCCTAAAAAGACATGCTCCCGAGCCGAGTTGGTTTGCAAGACTTTTGTTCCATTCAGTGGCGGATCCAGAAATTTTTATTATTGGGGGCACCTTTTAATGATGTTAAAAAAAATCTGAAAATAAATAACTCTTTCAAACCAATACGATTTTGGGTTATTCGGTTTTCGGCTTAAAGGTCTATTTTAATAGAATAAAAATAACTTATTCATTAACATTATAGCAAACAAAACAAGAGAACTAAAATGAATTTTAACAGGTTGACACTTAAAAGTTAGATGAATTAGAGTTTAATTGATCAATTAATGACTTCTTCAAGTAAGAGTTAGAAATGAGATGACAAAAATTAAAATTGGGTCTAACTTTTATTTATTTTGGGCCTAGTCCTGTTAATAATTTTAGGTTAACAAAAATAAAAATAAACCTACAACAACGTTTTAGTGTATGACTCCTAGGGTTGTTGGGGGCCTGTGCCCCCTACACCATTGTTGTAGATCCGCCAATGGTTCCACCCCAGACCCAGGTTCGAATCATGTTAGTGTCATTTTATTAGTCAATTTGTGCCACTGTTTGGAAACAAAAAAAAATCGTATATTTGTTTCTTATAGTCAAACGGTGTCACTGTTCGAAAAAAATTCCCTATATTTTTTTTTCTTATAGTCAAATGGTGTCATCGTTTGAAAAAAATCTGGGTCTATCCCTGCATTTCAACCTAATATGCATCCGAAGATGGAGATATTTTCTTACGCTTCTCACCAGAACTCAACTCTAGTTTACAGATATTATATTTTGCAAAAAAATTAAAATTAAAACAGTTTATAAGATAATATAAACTTTAAGCTTTCTCATCAACACGAATGTTTTAAAAAGTTAAGTTGAATAAAAAGAAAATAAAAGATAAGTACATGTACCACCACTAAATTGAGGAAGATAATGGCCTGACATGGAGCCCATGAAAGTATTTACACAAATACACTTATTGGTATTTTCATTTAATTAATATATAAAATATTATTTTATATAAACCGGATAAAGAAGTTTCTTTTTTCTGATTAACCTGGATATCCAACCCGCTATTCGAGTCAACTAACCACAGAACAATCACTTGCTTTGCGGGTAGCATGAAGTCACCGTATTTGAACCTCTGTGGTCACAGGAGGATTTTATTCCTTCTTGGATTTGAATTTGAGACCTTCAAATATTTTTAACTTTTGAAGACCAAGCTCGAACCAATAAGCCACCACCCTTGTGATTTAGTTTTTTTTTTTTTTTCGACAATAGATCGTATAAAGTAGTTAAGTTTATTTAATAAATTATATTCCTATGAAATTAATAACATATGTAAAATTCAAATCATAAACTTGCTAAATGTACCCATCATATCTCGCATACCTACGAATTAAAGTTGTTAAGATAATTGTTGATATTTTGATCATATTATTTATACAGGGTTTAACTAAATGAGAACTCTATATATTATGGTAACCGTGAGAACGTTTAACTTATGGTATTATTTTGCATGATTTTTTCTCATCTAAGGCTAACATTTAATATATTGATGAACACATATTTGTTTCACAATGTGTTCGTTTCATATGTTTTCAGTTTACAGTGTGAAACCTTTTTACGTGTAACATTTGTTTCACAAACAGGCTAAAAAGATTCAGATGGTGAAACAAACGCATTGTAAAACAAATATATGATAGTTAGCATTCTAAATCCTAGTTTTGGATGAAAAAGATCATATAAAATATCACATGATGCACTTGTTCTCAAGGTTATCACAATATTATAGGTTCTCAAAAGGTCACTTGGGTTTTATTGGGAAACCTTGAAGGTTGTTGTTTGACACATCTCTATGAGGGACAGGAGATCGACGGCTTTCAGTGAAGCAAAAAGAGAGGGTTGGATTATTTTTGGGGCATTTCTAGTATTAATTTTGTTTGAAGTGGCTTAGAGGGGATAAGTGAAGGCTCCTAGCTTATTCCATATAGCCATTTTGGCTTAATGATTAAGCTGTAAAGAAATATACCGGTATGGTTGAGCCAATAAGCCACCCTGACCATTAAGATGTAAGTAAACAACCCCTTAATGATCATACTCGATCTTGAATTCCCACATCAGCTAGACGGGAACAGATTGTCTGAGAATGTTAAGTCCCTACAATGGTAGAAGTCTAGTAGATTTTGACTTTGATACCATATGAGAATGTGGAACCCCATTAGGTTACTCTCCAAAAGAGTTCTTGAGAAGAGAAAGAAGTTTCAATATTTATAAAGGAGAAATGATTTAAGTCTAGCTGATGTAGGATTCTAACACTGTTTATTATAGTCATGGTCATAAGCAAGGACGGACCCACATGGATGGTGGCACGACTCGAATGTTTGTACACGATTTTAATGGCTAAGATGGTAAATGCCCAAGTTTGAGTCCCACAGTTGTCAAATTTGTTGTTTTTTAGCTTAAATTTTGGTGTTCTTTTATATACTTCTTGTGTTCTTGAAAATATATGTAGACTAGACTTGAAATGGGTCTTTTTTTATGTAAGGACAAGGAGCCAACCAACAGATCTATACTAATATTATGAACAAAAAGTTAGATAGTTTTTATAATCAGATTAAGCCACCACTTGAAAAAAATATGGGTCCGCCTCTGGTTAAGTCTCTACAGTGGTAGTAAACTTTGGCTCTGATAACATGTGAGAATATGTGGAACCCCATTAAATTACTCTCCAAAAGAGCTCTAGAGGAGAGAAAGAAGTTCCAACGTATACGAAGGAAAAATTGTTCATGTCCAAGCTAATGTGGGACTCTTAACACTGTTTACTATAGTCTTGGTCATAAACATCAAAATCTAGCGAATTTGCAAATCCAACAAGTAACGGAATTCGAAGCAATTCCGTTATAGTTTATTATGAAAATGCACGATATTCATTTTATTCGCAATTACTCTATTATAACCAATGGGGTCCCAGAAAATACTAACTTGTGATCTAACATATAAGAAAAAAAGAGAGTTTACCTTTTGCGCGAATTCAACGAGCGACATGTTTGCGTGCCAAACGTTTTGTTGTTACCGAAGGCGATGAATTCAATGGGAGCAACGCATCCAAGGAATGCATTTTGTTTTTCGTGTAGGATCGTGTTATGGTTCTTTGAGTCACCATAGATGGCTTTCCCCTTGTCGGTTTTTGGTGTTTTGTACTGGTTCCGACTGGGAGAAGCTCGTCTGGTCCGAATGGACTCTCGGGTCGTTGGCACGTCCGTTTCTTTTTCAGTAGTTCCCATAGTAACTTGTCGTCTTTCGTTTGATCCTCCTGTGGTGCTAATAACTGGATCAGAAACGAAGACATTTAAAGTATCAAAGATCAATTTATATGTATCGGGTATGATATGTCATGCATATCTATATACCAAAGACCAGGAGCGGAAGGTCGGACTTATGAAGGCTCCAGCGGGGTCCCGTGGACCGTTCAACTGATTTTTGTAAGTACAATTTTTTTTTTTGGGATATGAAAGGTGAACCCGTCAAATTTTGGTTGGCTCTCGGATATTAGAAAATACAAGGGACATTAACCAATAAACCGAAAAAAGTCCCTAGAAATCAACCAAAAAAGGGAAAAATCTCTTGAAAAGGTGGAATCCGTCTAAGAACACATTGGACGATAGGGGTGTACAGAAAACCGTTAACCCGCGAAAACCGTCCAACCCACTAACAACCTGCCAAACCGCCAATTAATAGGGTTAAAATTGGGTTAGGCCTAGCTCAACCCGCAGCTAATATATAATTATTATAAAATTTTATTTATTTATATATACATAATATAAGGTGCCCCTGCTCAACAAAAATCACGAGCCCGCCTCTTCGAAAGGCTATATTACATAAAAAAATGGGAGGCTCAAATAGTAAGGATAAATATCGTGAGAAGGTAAGAAAGAGAAGGTTCATATGTGAATCATTGAAAAATCCGTTTGAAAATGCATATATGAACTCATATGAACAATCCCTTACGTCGGGTTATATGTATCTTCAAATAGTTTTCTTCAAGATTTTTTCAATGATTAACATATAAACTTTTTCCTTCTTATTTAACGATATTTAACCTTCTTATTTAAAGCCGTGAATTTTAAAAGGAGAAGGTGCAGCAAACAATATGTGTGCTTATTAACTAAATTTTTACCAGAGGTAGAAATTGCAACCAATTAATGCAAAAATGAATCAGTTTTGGTTGTAATTTATTAAAAAGAGTCAAACAGGTAAAACTGAAAAAAATTAGCTAAAAAGGAAACTGTTGGAACGGTTTGAAGTATAATTAAGGGATTGTTTGGTTCATTTTCCATTAAGACCTGTATGGATAAAACTGTCTGTATTGATAAAATTATCTATATAATAATAGATAAGTTGTAGTTCGATTGTTGTGTTGAGAAAATAGTATGATAGAAATGACCATTTTACCCTAAATAAGTTGTTTTTCTGTTGTTTTTCAGTTGTCGTTCCATTTAAGACCCATGTGAAGTTGTCTGTATGTCTTAAATTGTTTTATTCATATTTAATATATTAACTATTTATGAAATTTAAAAGTGAAGTCAAGTAAACCCGAGTCAACTCATTTTGATTCATTATCCAACCAACCCGACACACCCATACTGGAATGCTATGCAGGAAAGGGGATATCCAAAATTCTAGATCTAATCCTTTTAAGCTTTAGGCTATGTTTGGTATTTTAGCATATAAGCCAGATCTTGGCTCATAAGTTAGTTGTTAGATAATAAGTTAGTTGATAAACTAGTCATATTTGGCAAAATCTAGCTGATAAGGGATAAGGTAGATGACAATGTAAAATGACCTAATTGGGAAAAAAGAAGCTCTTGAAGGTTATTGAAACGCTGTTTAAAAAAAACTAGTTTATAAGCTAGTTTATTGCTTACAACAAAGACTTCTTCAATAAGCTGAAAAAATAGGCTAGCTTATTGTTGCCAAACATGACCTTAGTTTTCTTCCGTTTTTGTAATGTCTAGTGATAAGCTCATAATATAAGTTAGTTGTTAGATAATAAGTTAGTTGATAAACTAGTCATGTTTGGTAAAAACTAGTTAAGTTTATTAAAAGTTAGTCAAGTTCGGTAAAAACTAGTTATGTTTGGTAAAAACTAGAAAAAAAAAGTTGTTGGAGCTTATTAAAATGCTACTTCACGCTTATAACTTATAAGCTAGTTTATGGATTATAAAACATGCTAATTCAATAAGCTCAAAAAAATAAGCTAGCTTATGGTCGTCAAAACCTTAGTTTTCTTGGGTTTTGTAATGTAAAGTGATAAGCAGATACTAGTAGCATTAAGGGGCCGTACCAGGTGAGCATACCAAGGGACGAGAAGAGAGTCTTACCAGGTAAGTGATGGTGATGAGACTCTTACCCGGTAAGCGCTCACCGGATTATAAATGCTTACCATCAATTCATTCTGATGGCAAGGAATGTTACCCTATATGATAAGTGAGAGTAATGACTCTTGTCGTTAAGAGGGTAAGCGTTTGGTAAACGGCCCCTAAGAGTCGGGTTATTTTATAGCTAAGAACTGATCAAAGGTTCAGTTAAATTCATCAATGGAAGTATCAAAGAGCATATAACTTCATGATATGCAAGTGGTAAGATTAGGACTTACTTTGTTCCTGGTATAATGACCAGCAGACTCCTTTTTGTCATCAGTGAAGAAACCCAGGTGTTGTTTCATATTTTTTATTCTGTCTTCTGATTCTTTCAACATGTTCAAAGCTTCAATCTTCCTTTCTTCTGCTACTCTAACCTTTTTTCTTGTTTGTTCCAATTCTAGTCTTCCATCTTTTGCCGCTTCTCTCATATCCTCCAATGCGACCAGTAGCCGAGGACACATGCCAATAGTCATTTCAGCCTTAAAGCTTTTGACATACTCAGTCATCGGCATACACATTTGCTCAGTTAATTTGTTGACGAGATTGTCCACTCCGCCTTCAACTGAGTTGAGGACTGCAGAGACACGATCATATATAGCTTTTAGGAGCTTAATTGTGATGGTCAAGGCACTACCATCATGGCTAGACTGTTGAAAGATGGATATATTATAAGTCACAGCTTTTTGAAAAATTGTGTGGATATAGTCTCTGTGGTCATCAATGGTCTGAAACATGCTTTTCTGGCTAGAGTTAACACAATTCTCGACTTGTTTGAGAAGCTGCATTAATTGTATGAGCTGCAATTTTTGTTTCTGTATGAGCTCTTTGCCTGCCATGATCGCGCTATTTGTGTAATCTTCCTGCAGTTTCCCAGCACAATAATCAATTTACATAAAATGTAAAATGTTAAAGAGTCCTGCATCAGCTAATCTTTCGACCATTTCTTCTAAATATATGTTGAAACCTCCCTCCTCGTCTGAAAAGGCTTTTTTTGGAGAGTAATTTAATTGGGTTCCACATAGTTTCATATTGTATTTGAGCCAAGGTGTACCATCCAAAGGACTCAATACTCTAGGTCACCATGTGCTTGTCTAGCCTCAATTAGAAGGGGCATATTAGAATCCCACATTGGCTAAACTTCGAGTATTTCTTCTAAATATATGTCGGAACCTCCTTTCTCTCAGGGCTCTCTTTGGAAAATTTTCAATCTAAAGCGATGTATTTGTCCCCTTGTCATCATTACAATTTATTAATTATATTGATTTGGTCTACAAACTTCCTCCTATTTTGTTATTCTTGAAAGATTTCTTAAAAATGTATATAAAAGTCGAACACTTCCTATCCATCACAGTGTTTTAGGGATGGATATGTACAGGTTACATAAAAGTACGGATGGATTTATAACCTTCCTCTGTTATCAATAAACGGACCAGTGAAACTTGAAATCAGCTGAATGGAAACAGGAAAACGTATATTCCCCTCTTCCCCCCAAATAATTTATAAGACAATTTTCTTTTGCGCAACTTTACCCTTTGCTCCAAACACCATCAACAAGAAATCTTATACAAACTAAGATTCTCACACATCTAGAACTTATGACATCATTAAAATTTTCAATAATAACATTGCTGATGAAATTCAGGAAGTCCTACTTACCAACATCAACGATTACTTCAAATCTTCAATAGTGCAAAGACACAATAAGTAAAGTTAAATATCAGGATTTATTGCATCTTCGTATTGATTTGCATTCAACTTGTTTTCATTCTAGCACAATTTGTGATTCTGTTTGAGTAGTAAGAACAAAGGTACCTCCAACTTATGAATATCATATTCCCTCTCGGCACTTGATAATGACATATGACTGTCCACTCTAATCATGTCTTCACATTTACCCTGTTAGATGTCACAAGCAACAAACCTGCAATCTTCAGAATTTTCTATCCACATATCAATACAATAAGCAGTTATATCCTGATTGCAGCACCTCAACGAACTCAAATTAGGAATATGAACTCTCACGAAATGATTACACAAATCACCATACGGAAACGCACATACAGAATACAGGCACTACCGTCAAATACATTACCTGAGATTGTGATCTGATCTTCATGAAAATGGTGCTTGATCTTCCTTCTTCAGCCATTTCTGCGCTTTTCAAACCGACAAGCTTCATCAATGGAACAGCTAGCGAACTAAATACATCTTCAGCCTACGAAAATCGGAAATGCAGTAAAAGAAATATAAATAAACTATATTTGTTCGTTGAATTTTTGAAGCTTTTGGAAGTCAATTACCTCGAGCAAACCGATTTTAATCTGAGATTTGAGGTGATTGAATGAGAGTTTGAGTTGATTTTGGCGAGAGATAATTCGCGCAAGTTTGGAGTGAAGCTTCGTCATTGATGGCGATGGTGGAAGGGTTTGAGATCTCGAACGATGATACGTCATGTCGCCTTCTCGTTGTGGCGGGGAAATGACGAAGAATTCTAAACAAACTTTTTTGTATTTATAGAATTTTAAATTTGGACGAGTAAAGGTTGTTCGGGATTGTTTATTTGAAATAATTTATGTTTTTTTTTTATAAAAGCACTTATCTAACTTATTATAAGATAAAAGAATTTAACTTCTTCAAAAACTTCTTATCACCGATTTAACGCTGGTATAAGTTGTTTATTCAAACACTCAAGAGTGTTTATTACCGGTACCATACCGAAATAAGTCAATAATTTATTTTTATGATAAAATTTTGAATCAAGTAAATCTTTATATATAAAAGTAAAATCTTGGAATATTGAAGTGTCACCACGAGAATTGAGTACACTCTCAAATGATGAATTGTGATTGAGTCTTAGTTGTTTCCCATTGGTGAATAATTGAAAGATTTAAAAAAAGAAAGTGTATAAGAAATATAGATGGGATGTATTTGTGTCAAGTCATGGGGTTTGCATCACAACGTTGTCATATTTTGAATAACCGTCTTTGAAATTTATAACCATAGTTGAAATCTAAACCAATTAAATGGTAAAAATTATAATGCAAATATAAATTGAAACCAAGGATGACAAATGTAGTTTAAACATCTCTTATATATCACTTATATATACATTGAATATAAGGTGGCGTTTGTTTTTTAAGAGGTGCTGAAGTTTGAAGTCTGAATTCACTTCTGAATTTTAAGAGGTGGTGCTGAAGTCTGAAATCTGAATCAGTCAGACTGTTTGTTTTTACGTCTGAAATCTGAAATCTGAATCAGTCAGACTGTTTGTTTTTACGTCTGAAGTCTGAAATCTGAATCAGTAAGACTGTTTGTTTTTGTAAACTGAGACAAGCGACGTAAGGAGGCGATAGAAATAAGAAGTTTTAAGTGCTAGGGTTACCACTTAAAAATTCAGAGGAAAATAAACGAATTCAGCTTTTAATTTGAAAAAAAAAAAAACAAACGATCTGAAAGTTCTTATGTCTGACCGATTCAGACATAAGAGGAGATTAAGTGAAAAATTAAAAAAAACAAACAGCCCCTAAGTATTGACTTAATGATATGTTTTTCATGTGATGTTAGTATTCTTCAAATCGTGATTTACGGTGTTAGAGAGTGTTATAAATATAAATACAATACAAAGTTTTCAGACACATCGTATTTCGGTTCGAATGAGGCTTTTACTTTTTTTTTTTCCTAAATTGAATTATGATAATCGTATAACACACAGTGTCGAACGCTAGTTATAATAAAAATCAGATATATAATCAAACATAAGGCTCTTTAATTGAAACTCATCTTGATGTACTTTCTAGAATTTATTTGGGATTGTTTATTTAAAACAACTTATGTTTTTTTTTTTGTAAAAGTATTTATTAACTTATGTGGTTTTAAACCGGAGTTTTTTAAAAAGTGTTTGGTTTAGCTTATAATGATACCAAAAAGCAATAAGCTGATAAGTTGTTTTTTAGTGTTTGACAAATTTTACTTATATATGTAAACTGACCAAAAAGGACAGTCTTCCATATTATTGTCTTGTTTATTTTTTAACATGTAAAAATTTATTTTTCATAATTTATAATAATTTCTTTGACAAAAAATTATATCAATAAGATTAATAATTTATATCAATAAGATTAATAATTAACAAACATTAATAAAACATGGTTAAAATGGTAAACTGGTAATAAGCAGTTTTTCATAAATCAGAAAAAATTAACTTATCAAAAATTATTTATTACCAGTTTGGCACCGGTATAAGCAGTTTTATTTTTCCTCATCCAAACACTAGCATTTAACTCATCACCGATACTAGACTGAAATAAGTCAAAAAAAAACCCCTAAAATAAGCAATCCCAAACACCCCCTTATTTTTATCTGGATTTTTTTAATTAGTAAAATAATGATTATTATTTTTTATTTTATGTAAAGTTTTTAAAAAGTATACTTACATGATAAAATTATACAAAAATTTAATAATATAATTAATATTGAAATCTCTGAAGTAGACAATCTGTAGCTGTTGATGTAATTTATTATTTTATAATAAAAATTTTAATTTTTGATTCTTTAATTTAGAAAAATGTTCTTCTATTCAATATTCAATAATTGGATATCTTTAGAATGTATACAGAATTTTTCCCAAATATTGGAAATAGATATTGTTAACCAATGATGGTATCCGATTGATTTGATCTTTGACTCCAAAGATCAAAAATACCAGAAGGTCTCAGATTCAAATCCAACGAGGAATAAAAATATCTTTGTGGCCACAGAGTTCTAAATACGGTGACTTCGGGTTATCTGCAAAGCAGGTGGTCGTCCTGGGATTAGTCAGCTCGTATAGCGGATTGGATATCCAGGTTTAATAAAAAAAATAGAGATTGTTTTCGTAAAAGTTTCCAAAATAGATTTGGAATATTTAGATATAAGCATAATGTTCGTAAAACAAAATTTGGGAGTTTTGAAGGTTTCGGAACGTTTTTAAAGAGCCCGAGACAGAGACGTTTTTGTAACGAAAATTGGGTGGCATACGAAAAAGGCATAAAAACATACGGATTGAAAGAAAATATGGTACCGTAAGTTCGAACGGCTTACAAACGCACAACGTCAAATTGTAGGTAATGACGAAAAGCCCCCTCTATCTATCCGAAGACATTAGTTAGTGGGAGGTGTAAATGAGAAGGCTTAGATATGATGATAATGTGTGAATAGATGATTCATATGTGAATCATTAAACAAATCCAAAAGAATTCATTTGAAAATGTATATATTGCACACACGTTATAGATTATTCACACGAATTTGCATATACATTTTCAAATGAATTTTATCTGCATGAAAAAATAACGTACTTTAACTTGATTCATATTTTGGGTAACGTACTTTCAAAACTTCCATTTTGGTACCTAAAACGTAAAGTTTTGAACATTTAAGTACCCGGGTAACCGGTTACCATACTGTTATGGCGAGTGATGTGATATCAAACACAATATTATTTGCTATTCAACCCATTTTCATCTCATCACTCGCCACATCAGCATGGTAACCGGTTACCCGGGTACATAAATGTTTAAAACTGTACATCTTATGTACCAAAACGAAAGTTTTAAAAGTATGTTACCCAAAATAGAAATCAAGTTAAAGTACGTTATTTTTTCATGCAATTTGCCCTTTTTGAAAGTATACAATTACTTATATATATATATATATATATATATATAGTAAATACTCACGCACACTTCTCACCTCTGGTAAGGTTTGAATCCCTGACCTCCTGAAAGTATACAGCAAATACTCACGCACACTTCTCACCTCTGATAAGGTTTGAATCCCTGACCTCCTGGAAGACTAAGCTTTACCAGTAACCTAAATACTGCTGGGTCAATGATACAGATAGAAATGGAATAAAGTACAGAAATTTGTATATTGAATGTGAGATTGTGTAGCGATAAATTATATATAAAGGTCAAGTAACACATATTATTATTATTCTTGAAGAACAAATGAACCTTCAATCCTTTTACCAATAAGAGGTGGGAAATTTAAAGGAGATAACATATCAACAGAAGTAGATGCAGGTCCAGGTGCAGGTCCAGGTGCAGGCTTGAATTCATATGGACCATCCTTCACTCCCCAAACCTGCAATCCGGTAAATAGTTATACTTACGGCCCGTTAGGAATGTAAACCATTCGAGCTTTTAACGAGCTACTCGAGCTCGAGTTGATCTCGAACATAAAATAGGGCTCGTTTAACAGCTTCATATCACAATGTTAGACTCAGCTCGTTAGGAAACTCGATTAAATTTTTCGAGTTGAGCGAAGCCGAGCCATTCGAGCATACACTGTATCGAGCCAGACATGCTCATATTTTAATAAATCTTACAATAAGAATATAAAAATTATCGAGTTTGAGCCTAAAAACGAGTTGATCAATAGCGAGAACCCATAAATGAGCATCGAGCTCGATACAACAAAAAAATATTTAAGCTCGAGGCTCGAGCCTTACCTTGAAAAAATTATTCTAGTTTCTAGCCAGACTCGAATAACCTACTACTCGACTCGGTTCGGCTCGTTTACACCCCTGGTTATACTCCCACTGTCCCAAAATAAGTGCCCATATTTCTATTTTTGTTTGTCCGAAAATAAGTATCCACTTTAAAAGTAAGTGTCTACTTTCAAATTTTACCACTAATTATGAGATGACGAAATTCATTATTCCATATATTATTACGGGTAAATCTTTCATTTAGGGGCCGTTTACCCGTGTAAGCGCTTACCCGTAAGAGTCCACACTCTCGATTACCAGGTAAGATTCCAGTCCATTAAAACGGGCATCATATGCAACAATTTTCCCAGTAAGCGCTGACGAGGTAAGAGTCGTCACCTTGACTTACCGAGGAAGACTCTCGGTCCTTGACATCGCTCTTAGCCTCTTACCGGGTAAGCTTATCGGTCTTCCGATTTTCATCCAGTAAGATAAGTGACCCAATAAAGCGCTTACCAGGTAAGCGTTTGGTAAACGGCCCCTTAGTTGATTAAAAAATGTAATAACTACACAATTTTAAAATTGTGTCTTTTTCATCGTGGACATTTATTTTGGGACGGAAGGAGTATATAACTTATTCAAATATAGAGGTCGTTAGGTGACATGTTAGCATGGTATCGAAAACTAACTTGGTTTCCATTGTCGTCATAACCCCTATCCCATGTATGGATCTCGTTATTCTTCAAGACGGCTAGTTCTGAGGTACAATATGTTGCACCATTCTGCTAGATAAACGACAAAAGGTTAATGCACTTCATAATATGATACCAGATTGACGTTGAGTTCTGGTGAGAATATTTTTTTGGCGAGAACAGTAAAAAACACATAATCCACCTGCACTTCACACACCTTCATTTACCTCTATATGTATACCTACTTGTATCACCATGACTGAAACTTTAACAAATTCATGCATGTGAAGGTGATGAAGATAAATGAATGTGGACGAAGGTTCGTGTTTTTTTGTGAACCATCAGATGAAAAAAGAGACTCATCCGAAAACTCAAAAGTTTTCTCACCGTTCTCAGGTGATGAAGCTAGATGGAGGGTCGTGTTGTTAGTGAGCCATCAGAAGAAAAGATAAACTCATCCAAAGGTTTAAGTGTTTTCACCGTTCTCACCGAAAAAATTGTTCTCACATGAACCCAACTTTATGATACAATGTCAAAGTGGAGAAATAACAAACGGGAGCATAAGGCGAAATAAATACCCATGAATTAGGGAAGCCATCGGGTGGTGTTGAACCCTCGTACAAGCATCGTTTTCCACGATCACAACGCTTGAGATAGATGGTGGTTAGATGTTCCGCTACATCCTACATGTTTAACAAGATAGTAAGCCTAAATATATAGTTCAACTGATTTCATAACTACCTGTTTGACGGAGCAGCTAATCTGGGAACAATTGCAAAGGGTATTTTAGACATTTGACTAATAGCAGAGCTTCAAATTTAACAACTCATTGTCATTAAAACTTTTATGATTTTGATTTTTTCATTATCATTGAAGGGTATTTTAGGCATTAGTATGTATATAGTTCTACTGATTTCAAAACTCGCTGTTTGAGAGAGCAGCTTATTTGGGAACTATTCTAAAGGGTATTAGACATTTGACTAATAGCAGAACTACAAACTTAACAGCCCATAATCATTAGAACTTGTATGATGTTGATTCTTTCGTTATCATTGAAGGGTATTTTAGACATTTGACTAATAGTCAAGTATTTTATTAAAACCAAGCGTTAGAGTCAAACATTGAAATGTCCAAGGGAAGGATGGAGTAATAATGAGAAAGAAAACAAGTTTTAACATGACCACTTTGCCGCCTAGAGTTACAAATTACTTCAACTATCTGAAGCAATTTCACAAAATCCCGTTAATCTAAACTTTGGAGAACATGTGATATAGAAATCATGAATGATGGTAATTTCAAAAGAAATATGGAAATCCACAATGTATAGCGACTGATTAAACTAAAAAATGAAAATATGTGTGAACAGAAATACGGAATCTTACCCCAATTACTTCTTCAGGCTGTGGACGCTGGTCCCTCAGCCGATCACAAAAGTTCTTGTACTCCTCTGCATCCCGAATGGCATATGTACTCAACTGTACATGTTATAAATAGTTGTCAGCTCTTATAAAGCCGTAAGACAGTTTACTTACAGCAGATTTAAGAACCCAAACACGAAAAGAGAGAAGAAAAGAAAAAAATAACAATTTCTTATTTGTCTTCCTTCCCTTGTCTTTTATCCCTAACATCAATTATCAAAGCAAGTAACAGCACCAGATCAAAAGATACAGATCTGTTCTGGTCTTTTTTATCATTTGCTTGAAACCTGCGTGGATGAGACAATTGTGATGGGTAGTTGATATGCAGTGATTATTCAATGCATAAAGTATTAATTTCTTTGCTTATTAGGTAGTTTATTTTCTTTTATCCCAACCTTGAGTCCTTTTTGTTACATTATTTTCCTTTTGTTTATACTTGGAGCTAAATTGAGTGATTAACTTGTCTTTGCACCATTTGAGTGGAAGAAATCTTAACTTGGAAGCATAATGTTCTCTGCTGCAGCATTGACCTATCAAGAGGCGGCCTATTGGAAAATGCTTAACGATTCAGCTGCCTATTAAGAAAGAAGACAATTTTTTGCTAATCTGTTGGTTAAGGACCATTACAGCTGGAGGAAGGATTTTTTGAGGTTGCTTTTGCTTTTGCTTGTGATGTGATATTCCTTTTTTAACTTTTGTCCTCCTTTTAGGAACATGTTAGTTTCCAAGGCTTTTGTCTTGTTGTTTAGACCTTTTGTATAAATAGGGCCCTTGATTTCTCTTTTGAATCATCCCACAAACACTGAAGAGTCAGATTTGTAGTTGTTTTGTTTATGCAAGTTAGTTTTCAATTTTCTTTTAAAAAAATAATAATAAAAATTAAAAAAAGATTAAAAAAATAATTTTTAAGTAATATATATACATATGGGGACGGGACTGGGCGGGGAATATATTACCCGGACCCCGGTACCCGAATTTACGGGGAATCCCCCGCCCCGAACAGGGCGGGTGAACCGCGTTTCCCAACGGGGCGGGGAAAATCACCAGGCCCATTGGTTGTAACCAACAGATTAGAAGGTATAAAAATCCTCGGCTTCATTTTGTCAGGCAGCATGAGATTTTTCTGCCTCTTTTCTTTTTGTATTTTAAGAATAGAACGTTGGATGGGCAGCTGGATACTAGGATTAGGAAAAACCAAATTCAGACAACTATTATGAGGTGAAACCACACTATCCATGACTCTCTAACGCAATTCATAAAGCTTAAACTAACATGATAACATCATAACCATCAACCCTTTTGTCTAGATGCTTTAGAGCACACAAATCATACATGCAAATCCCAAAACCAGACCAGACAAGCAAATAAAAGATCTCCAAGATAAGCTACTATACTAAAGTCACTAAACAAAACCAAACGAATTCAGTGTGGGAACAGAGGTAGGGTTTGGGGTGGTTAGGACTAATGCAGACTTTGCCTCTACCCAGAGGGTAGAGAGGCTGTTTCAGTGATCTCCCCCTCCCCCCGCTTGCAAAACAAAAGCAAAAACCAAGAAGACACGTGAGAAAAATATCATAGTAAAATAGGAGTGTATTCAGACACATAACACATGTAAGGAACAAGATAACAGATAAAACGCAGCACAAATATGACATCGAAAACAGAAAAAACTAAAGCAGCTCTCCATCTAACATAAGGCTCTACTAGTCTGCTACCCTAGTGCTATGGTGCTCCTATCCAGGCTACTAGACTATTGATGCTAATGTTATGCCCAAAGTGCAATTCTCCATGTACAAATAACGGTTCCTCAGGCAGCTCGTATAAGTACTTTAGGAATCTATATGCTCTGAATGAAACTGGATCAATAGCCTTTTCCTAATCGTATATTGATCTTATATCAGCTGACACACTAAGAATCTTTAATATGACTAACTGATATCTCTTGAAACATCTTTGTTCTTATCTCATGTGAGGTTACTTACAACTTTTTTTGGCTACAAAAAACGGATAACAATCAAGTATGGACATAGTTAAAGAATCTAAAAGTTATAAGGCCTGAAATTTTAGCCAAGATTTTTAATTTTCTACACAATGGATAATCAACAACTAAGAACACAAAAACTATGTAATTTCAACTGTCAAATTTGTATCTTTCGCATCGACAATAGTAGGAGATGCAATGAAAATTACAGAAGCAGATATTTGATCAAGGAAACTTGATGTTCCCTCCATCCCAAAAAATAAGTGTAACAATTGATAGTTCAATGGAAGCGTTTTGACTAATAGTCAAATATCTAAAAGTACCCTCATTAAGGACAAACTAAATGAATCCTGTGGACCAAATATGCCATTGCCTATTTGGTAATAGTTACTGACAGACAAAGATGTAACTTTTTGACTAAGATGCTTCACAATAAGCCAAGCTAAGATGTTAACGTATGGGGCTGTTTGGTTGGTTTTTCATTAAGTCATGTATGGGACTTGTGTGAATTAATCTGTTTGTATGGATTGGGAGGGTTTTTGTTTGGAACGGTTTTTTCATAGATGGAAGGAGCATATTTTTTAACTGGGAGGGGAAGGTCTGAAAAAACTTACTTAGCTTTCTGCATAAAGCTTCCCCTAGAAGCTTAACGAATAAGCCACTTTCTATATCATTAAGTCACTATCAAACAGTCATGTATAGCTGACCACATAAGTTGTTAGTCTCACTAAGCTCATTAAGCTTTTAACAATCAGGCCATAAGTAAGACATGGAAATATGCTGAAATTAGCACCATGATAACCCCTCTTTACGCTCTTTTTGACTTTGCTAAAAAGGAAAGTGTTGTATTTATTCTGGGACATCCAAGAGAGAAAATTGTCGCAATTTGCAAGGAAAGAAAAAAATATTGAATACCTCGACATCACATTTCATCTCCTTTGGGCAAGGCTTTACCATGCAAAATCTCTGCAATGAGGCAACTGTCAGAAATAATCAACATAGACATCTTGAGTGGAGGACAACAATGCTAACATGACCAGAACTAAATCCAGATGGTTCATCTTCTTTCATTCAGATAGGATCATTTTTGTGCTTGTATTATTGTATGATACTCGTGATAAGGTAAGCAAGAAAACAAGAACCAAAACCATGGGAAAGGTTTAACGCATCCACAAATTCGATTTGAAAACTGTTGATTATTTGTGACATTTCCTCACAGGTCCTAAATGATGCAGCATACCTTCTGTATCTTCAAAAAAGGGTCATGCTACCCCCCCCCCCCCAAAAAAAAAAAAAAGAGAGAGAAGAAAACACAAGCCACACACACAAATTTCCTAGGCTCCCTCCAGTCTTGAAATGCCTATAATAATATGATAGATGAAAACATATTCGATACACAAGATATATGCCCTTTGTATCAAGGGGTGCATGTTGACAACTTGAACTTATATAACCATGTGAAATAAAATCTAAACAACAAAAAAGGTAATTTATCATATGGAACTCTTTGACAGACATGCCAAAAGACAAAGGTAACACTTAATCTGGGAAATGGAATGACAGAAATAACACAAACAAACCAGAATTTAACAGGCATTCAATCAATGAAAAAGACCAAGTGGTATACCTGTCTAAATGGCTTATGAGGAGTTCTCCAAAACGCCTGAAAGAAACAGAAGAAAACACTCAACTTGATAACAGCAGATAATGATAAATTGAGAAACATAACATTGTAGGTCATGTTTAGGATACTAACTTGCTCGAAATATAGAACCTTTGATCCATCCACCATATCTGCAGCTGGGCAGGAAAGCCATCTACAGGAACCAATAAAGAAGTCCGCATCATCAATAAACTTGCAACCTTTCTTAATTCAAATTTTCAACTACTTTGAGTTGTTACTGATTCAATAAGCACAATGGGATTTGATATTCAGTCTGGTAGCTTTCTAGGATGCCAAACAAATATCAAGCTTGCATTTCCCAAGGGAATTCACACAGCACATCGCAGCTACAACCAAGCTATGCAGACATATTTCCACAAACTTCATATCTGATCGATTTAGATGATGAATCGTGACAGAAAACACATACAGAGATAGCCAAAACGAGAAACCATCAAGGGAGAAAGTAATACCTCAAATTAAAGTAATTATCAGGATCTCTGGACGCTTGTTCCTTTGAAAACTGCAAATTAAATACAAAATTTACAAAAAACTGAAAGCAGAAAACAAAGAGCATACACAAATGAAGAATAACTAGTGCTAGTAATCACGAGTAAAAGATGATTTCAACAACAAGAGCGTCCAATTTCTCCTAAATCCACCAATTTCCTTAGATATACTCCGGGAAAAACATGAACATCTTCGTGAACTTTGAGAGCAATAGAGAGAACCGCATACCTTTTCGCCGGTGATGGACTGAGAGACGATGCGGGCATGGTCCCAACGAGTGGTGGACTTAGTCAATCGCTTAACCAAAAGAGCACCTCCGATCAAAACCAACGTCTTCACCACTAATCCTCGAGCTCTGCTCCACCCATTTGGTGGTCCCATACACACACATATGTAGATATATACAGATATACGTATGTATACAATGAATCCTCAATCTAGGGTTTAGATTCAGTTGCAGAATTCTTAAAAAGGGCGGATTTGAAATCCTGTGAAAAAGGAGCGAGGGTTTTTTTCCCTGAATTTCTTTTGGGGGAAAGATTTTGTCTCTGATCTCCAAGCACCCTAAAAAATAGTGTTTTTAACTCGACTCAAATTAGAACACAAATTTAGTAGTGTAACAAGTTTAGGCAATGTTTGGTCAGTAGACATAATTGAACAGGATTGAAGACAGGAGAGTAGGAATGGATTGGACGGGACATAGCAGGAGTATGTCTAATGTTTGGTACAATTAGGATTGGACGGGACAAAACTAGACAATCTACCCAAAAAGTTATTTGATGATTTTAAATAATAGTTATAATTAATACAAATAAAGTAAATAATTAAAGAATTTAATTTATAAATATTTTTTTATATAATTTTCATATTTGTACCAAATTGAAATGAAAATTTTGATATAATTGATGGTAATGGTGAAGATGGTTTTGGTTATGGTCGAAATGGTGGTGGTCGGTGGCCAGCAGTGGTTATGGAGGTAGAGGCAGTAATGTTTGGTGGACGACAGTGGTTATAGAGGACATGAAGATGGTAGATTGTGGTGGCGGCGGCGGTTGACAATGGTGGAGGAGGTAGTTGTGGTTGATGTAGTGAAAATAGTGGTGGTGGTTATGGTGGGATGAGGTGGCAATGAATGGTGGTGGGCGATGGTGGTCGTGGAGGAGGTTGTTGCAGTAGAGGAGGAGTTGAAGGTGGCGAACAGCGATAGTGGTGGTGGCAATAGACGGTGGTGGTCGACTATGGTAGAGGTGGCAATCGACTTGGTGGACGGTGGTTGTAGAGACGATGGAGAATGTTGTTGTAGTGGAAGAGGAGGTGGAGGTGGCCGCCGGTAGTGGTGGCGGCGGCCGAAACTAGCGGTGATGACCATTAAAATAAATATCATATTAAAGTTATATATCAAACTATGGTAGATTAGTAATATTTTAGTTTGTGTCTCATTCTTGTCTCATCTTGTTCCACCTATTTTGGTGGAACAAGAAAAAACCTCTTTTGTCTCATACTGTCCCACCTTATCTCTGTCCCATGTCGCGCCAAACATGGGACAGTAAGTTCTTGTTTTGTACCATGTTGTACCAAACATGGGACAGTGAGTTTTGTCTCGTCCTGTCATGTTATGTCCCATGTACAAAACGAAACCTTAATGTTCAGTTACTTATATATGATCGTTTGGTAGCATTTAATTATATGTAAATTGGCTTATTCAATAAGTTTTAATGATGTTTTATGCTGAATGTCGAATTTTTTTTCGAAAAATTTCCCTCCAAATTAAAAGAAGACGCTCATTTCATCTATAAACAACTTTATTTCAAACAAAAATCACCGTCATCTATTAATCTACACAAACAACTTTATTCATACAAGACTTAATGAAAAATCAACCAAACAATCTTTAAAGCTTGTTTAAATTAACGAGTCGAGTTCTACAATATCATGTTTGACTCGACTTATTCGAAATCTAGATTAAATTTTCCAAGTCAAGTTGAAGCCAGAGAGCATAAACTAAACATATTCATATGTGCATAAATCGTATAATCAAGGTATACTAATTGTCAAGTGCAACCTCATAAACGAGCTTATAAAGTTTGACTTCTAAGTTTGATATATAACGCAATTTTATTAAACGAATATTCGAACTCGACCCTCGTAGTAATTTTCCGACCCGAGCTCAAACAATCTGCTACTCGACTGGGCTATGCTCGTTTTCACCCCTACTCTGGAATATCAACCCTTTATTTGTTTAACTGGTCCCGATCTAGTTCGGTACCAATCTCGATCTTGTTTCCATGTGTGTGTATGCATTTAAGATTAGGTATGCGTATGTTTTTCTTATAGTTTGGTGATGTTTTTTGTAAAAATATACGAAGCTCTGAGATTACTCTTATGTGGGACTTAACACGTCTACTCCATCGGACGTTAGACAGATACAACTGTCCGTGAATGTCGAGAGTGGTAGACCTTGACTCTAATATCATGTAAGAATATGTAGAACCCCACATTACCTTTTTAAAAGAGTCATCGAGGAGAGAATGGCTCTCATGCATATTAAGAAGCAAAGGTGGACCCGAAAAAATTTGAATTACAAAACAGTTTAACTATAAAAACATATTTGTTGAAATATTTTATAAGATCAGTATAAGTTGATTGGTTGGTTCAGTTGCATTGAACAGGATGGACCCATGTTCAAGTCTTGACCATAAATTTTTTAAACACGTTAAGAACACCAAAATTTAAGTCGAAAACCAAGAAGTTCGACAAATGTAGGACTCAAACCTGGGGTTTTTATGCAAAGTAAGCAACATTTACCGACGCTGCAATTAAAGACTCGCGCCAAGATTTATAATTTCAAAAACTATACGGTGACACCCGATAAAACAATATGATTCATCCTTCATAACGCATTTTTTTCCTTTATGAGGGAATTATGAAACGATAGCATGTGCCACCGTTAGGGATGGTGATTTGCCCCGACCCAGTGGGGAACTCGGTTCACCCGACCCGAGCGGGGATTCACCGCTAAAACGGGTCCCGGGGCCGGGGATCCCCGGTAGACTCAAACCGGGGAACGGTGGTGTTACTCAAACTGGGGCCAGGGTCGGGGATCCCCGGTAGAATCAAGCTAAAGGAAACTATTTATGAGGTTTTACAGGGGATTGTTAGATATTTGAGCGGAGACGGGATGATAGTCCCCGTACCCGCCGGGGACCGGGGTCGGGGGACGTTACTACAAACAGGGGCCGAGGATTACAAAACCTGCCCCGTTGCCATGCCTAGCCACCGTATGGTTCTATGTAGGCTCGCCTTCTTAAGAGCTCGGGCAAAAACAATCACGTCATTTTGAATTATACAGTTACTAGCTTTTAAAAGAACATAGAGTAAACTACAAATTTGGTTCACATGGTTTGTTAAAAATAACGCTTCTCATCCTTATAGTTTTGAAATTACAAGATGGTCATCGTGGTTTAGAAGAACATCTAGATGTGGTCCCTGCATATAACAACCATTAAAAAGGCCCATGAAATAAAGGGCAATTTTGTCCTCTTATGATTTTCTATCTTTTAACCCAAGCAAAAACCACAATGACTAAAATTATAAAATCAGGTTTGATTGGGTAAAAGATAAAAAAAATTGAAAAAAAGACGAAAAATGTCCCTTCATTCAATGGAATTTTTTGATGACCGTTAGAGAGAAACGAAATCCATACGTTTTTGTAAACAAAGATAACCATCTTATAATTTCAAAACTGCAGAGACAAAAAATGTTATTTTCAACAAACCACAAGGACCAAATGTGTAGTTTAGCCTGAACTTATTTTTTGGTTCAAGGACAAAAATTACAATGAATAACAAATCACAGGGACAAAAAGCATAACTTTAAAACCATAAGAACGAAAGTTGCAAATTTTAACAAATTATAAAGACAAACAACTTATCATAGGGACCATTTACCAAATGCTTGTTCAGGTAAGCACTTACAAAGTCACATTACCTTACTGGATGAACATGGTCATGAACTAAGAATATTATCCGGTAAAAGCGAGACAAGAACCAAAAGTTTTACCCGGTAAGTGAGGGCGACGACTCTTACCACGATAAACGTTTACTAGGTAAATTATTGTATACGATATCGTTTTGGTGAACTAAAGTCTTACCCGGTAAGTAAGTGATAGTATTAAATTTTACCGATAAACACTTACCGGGTATGTGTTTGATAAACAATCCCTTACTTTAAATGGAAAAAAAACCCGTCAAATATATCAAATGATATATAATTTACATACAAATTAACTTCTAATTGTAGAAAATGATTACTTTTCTATATTCCATAATCCAATAAATTTCTACATTAGAAGCCAAAAGCTATGATAAAAAGAAGGCATACCCTTTATGTTTCACAAAGTTGTTCATCCCACAAATGAACACTTTTTGAATCATAAATTCCTTCGTTAAAATCAAACTAACTCTGCATATCCCGCAGAAAATACTGTTTTAAAAAACGTATCGCGCCTTTCGGCAAAGAATTTGCCGTTAACCGCCTGATCCGGGAGCAACGAGAGCCAGACGGCTGTGTCGGCACCTTCTTCGGGTGTAATTTGGCCCGCCCAACCGGTCATGGCGGTCTTCACCATACTCGGGTAGTAGGAGTTGATGTATATCTTTCCACCTTCGGGGTGTTCCGAGAGTTTTTTTGCCATGACCTCAGTGAATGCATTAACCGCGATTTTTGATAAGGAATAGTCGGTGTTCGTTTGCGACCATCCTTCGGATGTCCAGGTTCCGTCTTTCACTTGTTCTAGGAACTTGGTCATTGTTGCATCGATCAGTTCCTCTAAGAGGTTGTCCACGTCTTCTAATTGTCGCCCGTAATCCTCTGGAGGCATCCCGGCCCGGGAAAAATCCAGACCCAAAAACAAGATTTTAATGTCCGAACCTTGTTCATGTATGTTCCCGACGGCTCATGTAAAATTTCGTTCAAATCCAGCTCCATACGTTCGGGTTACGCCCATACACGCCCTCCGCCGACGTCTCGACTCCGGAAAAATCCCGGGTGTAAAAATACATCTCCTAGATAACTTTGCTAAAGCTCCACTACGATTTTTTCAACACTAGCATGAACGAAAACTTAACGAAAATCTCTAAAAATGAGATTAATGACGTCTCTCAATGTAATTAAAACTAACACGCGTTGGGTGCCCGTTTCAACTACCGTAACACGTCGCACCCTGTCACAATGATGGCAACATTCAGCACACTTTACAGCAAAAACAGGTTAGTTATCAAAAGACGACTGTACCGAAGAGCAAAAAGCATTAAAATGTAACAAAGTTTGGTTTAATTCATTTTCTAAGTCGATTTCGAACACAAAATATAACTTGTTTAACTTAACGAGTCGCACTTTATAAAACCAATGTTCGGTTCAACTAGTTCAAGAGCTCGATTAAAATTTTTGAACTGAGCCATTTGAACATATGTTTTTTTCAAGCTAAAAATGCTCATATGTTCATAAACAATAAGGGGTAGGAGTGTCATTTTTGTGGCTGAATGAGAACAAACACAATTTCTATCTATGCGATTAAGCCGTTCTGTGCGAATAAGCTGCAAGTAAATAACCCAAATGAGCCGTGCGAATAAGCCAGATAGACAAATAAGCCTAATTAAGCCGCAAGTAAACAACCCTTAAGAAATAAATCTTATTTGATAAAAAAAAATCAATCTCTTAATGTAACTAAACCCTTTAAATGATTTTGTATATTGGGCCTTCGAAAACCATTAATTTTGAACAAACAACCATATTTCATTTTGTATTATATCATAAAAACCTGTTAACCATCTTGTACAAAACTATTAACAACTAGGGGTGCTCATGGGATGGGTTGATCGGGTTGAATACATTTGAACAACCCAACTCAATGCTTGCGGTTTGAAAAATCTTAACCCAACCCAATGCTTGCGGTTTGAAAAATCTTAACCCAACCCAACCCGAACCAAAGTGCAACCCAACCCAACCCTACCCATACGGGTTGGTCGGGTTGATACTTTGATACATTAAAATATTTTTCTAACCTAAAATATGTTATTTTTTTACTCATACTTTATTTTTCATCATAAATCATTTGTACAACTTATCCATACTTCTTACGTATATCACATTCAGTTAATTTTCTCAATTACATATATATGTTCACAATTATTGAACATATATACGAATGAGTTATATAAAGACGTGAATATATTAAAAATATGTGTATATGAATAGCATACATGATAGTGTAATTGTCTAATGTACATATTAATAAAAATTCAGCAATCATATTAAATCAAAGAAATAAAAGATTATCAAGTTCATCGGGTTGAGTTGAGTTCAAATAATAGTAACGCAATACTTATGTTTTAATAATTTTACAACTCAATTAATCATCGAATTGCTTTGGATTGAATTATTTCGTGTTAGGTTGATCGGGTTTTAAACACCCCTATTAACAACCGTTAGTTTTTAGGTCAAAGTCAAATAAATTAATACTCGACTCAACCTTTTTTTACCCCTGGTCAAAGTTTTAAATTTATTTGACCTAAAATCTAATAAAAATCCCGCAAGTTTATTTGAAACGGAGCATTTAGATCTACCCAAAACGCAATCCACGAATCCTAGCCGTTCATCTCGAACTTCTCTGCAAACTCACCGTGCCATGCCTTGGATCCTACGTGTCAAATTTCCATTGGCCATTTCTACGTGGCATGCGATATTATTGGTCGGGCCAACTCGACACAACTTCTCGCCAGATCTATATATGTACTCTCCGTAAACTTAACCACAAGAAAGAGCGGAGTCTCTCTCTCTCTCTCTAGAATCTTCTTCTCTCCATCAACTAGACTTTCATCAAATCGATTTAGATCAAGCATAGTTGCTGTTGATTTTTGATTACTTAGGTTATGGAAGAAAGCAAGAGGAGGATGTGTACTTTGCAGCTTTGTTGTTTTCTTTTGATCGGTTGCTTGATTTCACAGATTTACGCCTCTTCTGACGCGGTAAGTGAAGTAATTGATGTTTGCTTTTGTGGATCTGTAATGTCTGAACTAGTAAAGTAGTAACTGAATTTGTGTGGCTTTTGTTTTAGATATTTTACGAGTCGTTTGATGAATCGTTTGAGGGGAGTTGGATCGCATCTGAGAAGGAAGATTATTCTGGTAAGATTTGTTTGGATCTTCGTGTATCTTGTGTTGTTAGTTTGTTCTTGAACTTGATTTGTTTGATTAACTTGTTGTTAGAGTTTTGGTAGTTTTGAAGTCGTTTGAACTGTTAACTCAACTTGGAAGGTAAGAGATGTAGATAATGACGATAATTTGATAGAATTATGAATTGAACTGTGAGCTGAAGTGTTAACATGTGAAGGATTAGCCATTTAGGAGAAATTAGCGATTCGATTAGGAAAATGGATTCGGTTCCAGACACAGGTACTAGTATACAGTTGGTTGGTTTACACTGCCATAAAATAGCCACTTATAATTGCATTGGTGATTGAAGTCGTTTAAATGATTTTACTGTGGTTTAGAATATGCAATAGTAGCTTTGCAACGGGGTGCTAACTGGTTTGTCGGGGCTTACTCCCATCCCAAAAGTATCCAATTTAGCTTTTTAGTGAGATGGTCATGTTAATGTAGCAAGTTAAGGAGGCATGGAGTGATCCGGTTTTTGCGGCTTTAGGGTCATGTTCCTAAAATAACAATCTATACGTTGAAATACTCTTTTACTAGACTATCGACTAAAATGTTTCAGCTTTCTTTCTGAATCAGCTCTCAATTGACATAATCAAGCACCAAATATCGAACTCATAATGATATCATAGCAACTTTATATGTATCAACAATCATTTGGTTTTGCAACATAATATTTATCAAAAAGCCCAATGCCTCAAACAATCAATTCATCAATTCTTGTTTCCAATGTTTAAGCACCCAATCCAAATACAACTTAATTCCTAGCCTTCTCTAGAAACAGGGCCTTTATTCTCCAGATGCTTTCATCATACTCTATCAGGTTGCCGTGGACTAAGTGTATAGAGTAGAAATTGATGAAAATAACACGGTTTAACTCATCTTTAAGCAAATGTAATGTAACATTTTCAAAATGGAACAGTTGACACAGTTTCAAAGTAAATTTATATGTATGTTTTTGGTTTAAATGCATCTTGTTTTAAAAAATCTAATCACACGAACTCCTTTTGACGATACTATTACCCAGATGGACAAACTTTCTGTTTTCTCAAGAACAATTAATTGACAACTTACCATCGTCATGTGGGATGTCAAGCTGTATGAACTTCGTGTATAAAAAAAAGGTTTTAAGAGGTTCTCCTGTAGTGGTCTTCGCTTGCTAGACATTTTCTGTGCTGTCTAATTTTCTGGATTACAATGGATGTTCAAAAAATCTATTTGGCACCATGTTGACTTGGTGCATCTATTGGTTCTATGTGCTATTCCGTTCACGAATAGTTTGCACATGATTATATTTTTCATGTATCTATTTGATTTGTGTATTTGCTTCTGTAGTTTATGTAGTTGCATGGCAGGTTCTATCTGCTCTTCACTGTTCTGATGAAACGGTGCACAGTCATATGAATTTTCATATTTGATTGATCACATTAACAGCTAGAGGATGGTGCTATGGATACCGATCTTTGTCTTGTAAAATATTTCAACCCCTTTTTTTCTCTGATATATGATTGTCAATCTACATGAATGAGACGTATCTCTGGCTGTAATCTTGCTTTATATAGTATCTGCCACTGTTCTTTTTGTGACATAATTATGCCTTTTCAGTTGCTGAGTTTGTTATCATATTCTTTGTGGTCCTTAGGTGTATGGAAGCACTCAAAGAGTGAAGGACATGATGACTATGGACTTCTTGTATCCGAGAAGGCTAGAAAGTATGCAATTGTTAAGGAGCTAGAGAAACCTGTTGAGCTCAAGGATGGTACAATTGTTCTCCAATTCGAAGTCCGTCTTCAAAATGGTCTTGAATGTGGTGGTGCATATTTGAAATATCTCCGGCCACAGGAGGCTGGCTGGACCGCCAAGGGATTCGACAATGAGTCTCCTTACTCGATCATGTTTGGTCCCGACAAATGTGGTGCCACAAATAAGGTCCATTTCATCTTAAAACACAAGAACCCCAAGAGCGGAGAGTATGTTGAACACCACCTCAAATTCCCCCCTTCCGTGCCTTCAGATAAATTGACCCACGTATACACTGCTATTTTGAAACCTGACAACGAGGTCAGAATCCTGGTTGATGGAGAAGAGAAAAAGAAGGCTAATTTCCTATCATCCGAAGACTTCGAACCCGCACTAATCCCATCAAAAACCATTCCCGACCCAGATGACAAAAAGCCTGAAGATTGGGATGAGCGGGCCAAGATTCCTGACCCAGATGCAACAAAACCCGACGATTGGGATGAGGATGCACCCATGGAAATTCTCGATGAGGAAGCTGAAAAGCCCGAAGGATGGCTAGAAGATGAGCCCGAGGAAATTGACGATCCAGAGGCTGTGAAGCCCGAGGATTGGGACGATGAGGAGGATGGTGAGTGGGAGGCTCCCAAGATCGACAACCCGAAATGTGAAGCTGCATCTGGATGCGGAGAATGGAGAAGACCATTGAAAAGGAACCCAGCTTATAAGGGTAAATGGCATGCTCCTCTTATTGACAACCCTGCTTATAAGGGTATCTGGAAGCCTCAAGAAATTCCAAACCCTAGCTACTTTGAACTTGAAACCCCTAACTTTGAGCCAATTGCTGCCATCGGTATCGAGATCTGGACCATGCAAGATGGCATCTTGTTCGATAACATCTTGATAGCGAGTGACGAGAAGACTGCAGAAACAATCAGGGAAACCACATGGAAGCCAAAGTTTAAGGTGGAAGAAGAGAAACAAAAGGCTGAAGAACCAGCTGGTTTTGATGGTCTCAAGGGAATTCAGGTAATCTACTAACAAAGATGAACTAAAAAAACTACCATTTTCCTTGTTTTTGTGCTAACTTTTGTACTTCAAATGTTGCAGAAAACTGTGTTTGATCTTCTTTACAAGGTTGCCGATCTGCCTTTCTTGGGTGACCACAAGATCAAGGTTTTGGTAAGCAATTGCTGTTTTATTATACTTGCTATGTATTTTGATTCAATTTCTTTTTTGAGTAACGTATTTTCGAAACCTTTTTTCATATCTCAAACGTTTAGAGCAAAGTGCATGTCTGGAGTAGTTATTGGATCGACATATGTTGCATTCTTAACTGTAATTCAGATGTCTAAATGTTTGAGATACCAAAATAACGGTTTTGAAGCCATATTACAAAAAATCTGATTTACTTCCTCCGTCCCAAATAAATACCCACAATAAAGAAAGCACACAATTCTTTATTATACTTTTTAATCAACTAATGGACAATTTTACCCTTGATAACAAATGATAGAATTGAAAACTAGTGAACAAATTAAACTAGAAATTTGCCTTAGATATTTCCCCATTGCATGTTATTTGAAACTCCAGGTTTGTATCTTTTGCAGGAACTGATTGAGAAGGCTGAAACACAACCAAACATTACAATTGGTGTCATAATATCAATTGTCGTCGTGATCTTGAGTGTCTTGTTCAAGTTGTTGTTCGGTGGGAAGAAAGCGGTGAGTACTGCACCAGACCTTTTACTTTTCGTTGATAAAACTTCTAATTGTTTTAACCAAACCAAACAATCCTAATATATACCTGACAAGAGTAAACTAGTTGTTGATGTTTTTCTTTTTGCTGATAAAACCTCATACTGCTTAACCAAACGAAACAAACACGTACACCCCCTAAGGGGCCGTTTACCAAAACGCTTATCCGGGTAAGCACACACTACCTTACCAGATGAATATGGAAGGACCAAGAATCTTAACCACAAGGGTGGTGCCTGATTGGTTTGAGCTTGACTCCAAAGGTCAAGGTACCAGGAGGTCATGGGTTCAAATCCAAGAAAGAATAAAAATTCCCTTGTGGCCATGAAGGTTCAAATGCGGTGACTCCGGGTTATCTATTAGCAAAGCGGGTGGTCGCCCTAGGATTAGTCGGCTCGCATAGTGGGGTTGGATATCCAGGTTAAATAAATAAAAAAAATCTTACCCGGTAAGTGAGGCGACACTCTTACCATGATTAGCGTCGTTTACTGGGTAAATTGGTTATGTGAATGCAAAGTGATTGATGGAGTAATGAATGGGTTATACAGGGAAAGGTGAATAATGTGGCGGCAGCAGCAGCAGCAGCAGCAAAGAAGGAAGAAGGGGAGGGGGGTTCAAGCACCCAAACAGTAGGAGAAGAGGGAGAGGAAGAGGAAGAGAAGAAAGAGGAGGATGCAGCAGCTGCTCCTCGTAAAAGGAGCACAAGGCGTGACAACTAGATTCTACTTTACTATTATTTGGTAGCATCTTCTTCTTGTAGTCAACTTAGTTATTTGGCATCTACTGCTACCCTGCTACCTGCTACTAATTACATGGTATCCTTTTTGTCTGTTTGTTAAAATACATTGAAAACAAAGTTTTTTGTTGTAAGTAAATCAGAGAATTTTTATCATTAGAAATTTAAGCCACTTTTTGTTTTACTCAATTCAATGCTTGTTTTCTGGGTCTGTCAAACCCACATCCACATTCTCTTGCATTTTCAGTCATTATCATTCATCAAAGACACTTTGTCCATCTGTCTTGAATTCAACTCTATATTTCTATAACAATTGTGGTTACTAAATGGGTGTTTGGGATTGCTTACTTAAAACAATTTATGTTTTTTTTTATAAAAGTGCTTATTAACTTATGTGGTATCAAACTGGAGTTTGGACGGTTTTTCATATTATTGATTTATGGGAGTGTTTGAGATTGTTTATTAACTTATTTAACTTTTTAACATGTAAAAATTTATTTTTCATCGTTTATAATAATATTTTTGACAAAAAAATTATATCAATAAGATTAATAATTAACAAACATTAATAAAATAGGGTTAAAATAGTAAATTGGTAATAAACAATTTTTTATAAGTCAGGAAGGATTAACTTATCAAAAACTGTTTACCGGTTTGATACAGTTTTATTTTTCCTCATCCAAATGTTAGCATTTAGCTTATCATCGGTGCCAGACTGAAATAAATCAAAAACACCTAAAATAAGCAATCCCAAATACCCCTAAGTTTAGCTCGACTGATTTCTTGTTGTCAGAATTTTCTAGGACTAATGTTTGGGTTGCACTTTTAATTTCTTTAGGGTATGAATTATGACATTTAAATAAAAAGTTGAAATTGTGTCGACCATCAGCCAGTTACAGGGTGTGAAAAGGGTGTGAAATAATAAAAGATAACCACAAAGATGATGTTTGATTGGTTTGAACTTATATTCCAAAGGTCAAAAGTGCTTGGAGATCTCAAGTTCAAATCTAAGGAGGAATAAAAATTCTTTTGTGGCAACAGAGGTTCAAATGCGATGATTCTTGGCTATCCGTGAAGCTGTGGTCGTCCTAGGATTAAATCAACTCGCATAGCGGATTGAAGTTCCGTTACTTTGATGAAACGATAATTATTAAACTATTGGTTGATAAAATAAATTATATTTGTTAAAGCAAATAACATAAAGTTACCAAATAAATACATGCTAAAAATTTAATAATAAAGGCATAAATAGATTTAAAAAAAATTGAACGGACCCCAAAAATTTCAAGTGAAACAAATATTTTACTTATTGGGTTATTTAATACCTGATAAGTAAAGATTAACGATTTTTACCTTGGTTAGCACTTGTAGAATAAACCGTTTTGTTACAAATATTTCTGTTTTAATGGTCTAAAATCTTATCCAATAAGATAAGTGAGAGTACTAACTCTTATGAAAACGGTATTCGTAGTGTCATTTATACATACGTCGTATATATTTAAGCTGATAGCTCCCAAAACAATACGAGTCACAGATATGAGATATAATACTGGTTTTATAATAAACATGTAAAACGTAACTAAAATAACGCCTATGAAAACGAACAAATAGATAAAAGTGTATCGTCCAATACCCACACATCAATTACCATGAATACCGAAGATTCTTCGCAAACACATCATGCAACGAAAATGACGCATTAACCTCCTAGTTTCCTTGGAGGAATTACGGCCTTGGGTGGATTTGGGATCTTGTCGTCAAGACCAAGATCGTCTATGGGCGGTCGTCGTTTATGATGATTGGTGATGGTTTGGTACGCCATCGTCAATGCTAGCGCCTACATGTTTCACCACATAATCAGTCCTTCACCAATTCTCTTACGACACTAATTTATGTCGAACCAACATAAAATCCATCAAACTTGAAGATATATGGAACTGGTATTTAAGAAAAACATTCACTTTTCGGAACATCCTCTTTAGTTCGTTTTGTAATATATGTAAGAATGAACGATTTCAGATAAATAACGACCATGCGGATGCTTTGCCCGTTCCTATGCTTTCTATATTTGTGCAACTTTCCCCCCCTTTCTTCAAAAACTCGATTATCCACCACAAATGTTTCTGAAAACTTCTTTTTCCGCAAGTCAGAGGTCTTCATATAAACAACTGTTCTAAGAGTTTAAGGTCTTTGTGCACACTTGGTGCGTTCCGTTTGTGTTTTTTTCTGGCCAAAATGCAAAAAGCTTTGGTCCAATTCCCATTTTGTGTAACGGAGAATTTTGTTTCTCAGTCAATTTAACAACGTTTCAAAAAATCCTTTTTTGTACCCTATTTTGTCGTGTAATCTGTTGATCTTGTAACATTTGATGATATAAACCAATTTACAGAAATGTTACAACGGAATGAACCATAAACTCCACATCCACGTCATCAAATATCACAAGATCAACATATTATCATTCAAAAGGGGCGAAAGAACAGCAAATTTTGAAATTTTGTTTCATTAAATAAGAAATTTTGAAACTTACGTTACTTATATTAAAAAAAAAAGATATTTGTTAAACTAAATAGAAATTAAGACCGATTTCGTTATACTTTAACATTTTTTCGGTTGTTACAAAATATCAAAAAAGGGTGTTGGGTCCAAGACAACTTACAATGTGATCATGATCCGGAGGAGCGTAAATGCCGGTCGTCACCGTACTTCTTCTACGAGTTTTCTCGGTCGGTGGATCCGGAATCATTTCGAAACCAACCGGAACGACCATTACCGGCATCCCGACTAGATTACTGACACAAACTTTCTCCCAATCTGTGGCATTTCCCACAAATGCATCCACCGTGAAACTCTCCCTAACTTCCCGAATCAACTTTCCGCGTGCTCTTTGAGACTGAAATTACGATTTTGTATTATAAATGAATTTTGCAACACGGACAACCAACGATACCAAATCAAACGAACCCAATATGTCCCACAAAAGGGGTCACAGTTTTTCACCAAATCAGACCAACCAACATGTATACCAACCTTACCAATTAAATTGGTACCAGTTAGAGTTACAGTCGGCTGGTAGTACCGTACCAATTATACAGACATGGTTGGTACACGGTATTAGAACCATGTACCAAAACAGTACCATAATACCAACTTATTTAATTATTTAATGCATTTTTTATGTATCGACTATTAAACTTATAACTTTAACTATTTTGTTTGAGCATTTGAATGTTTGCAAGTTTTGTTATTTGCAATTAAAACCCCGTAAACATCACATGTGTTACCTGAAAACTCAGAATGCAATCAAAATTTGAACAAAGTAACACGTTTTTATATATTAACTTGAATGTAGTACAAAACCAGTACCAACCGAAAAGAGTCGATACGAAGTACAGTTGGTTGGTACATGGTATATGATTTTGTATACCAACTATAATTGGTTGGTACTCGATATTAGTGAAAAAAAACTTGGTACCATACCAAATCCACCCCTATGTCCCACCCGTAAGGTGATATGTATGCAAACTTGATTTCTAACACTAAGCGTAGGGCGGTTGTTTCCATGAAAACAAAGCAGATAGTAGATGACTTACCTGTACGTAATCTACGGCTGGTATTACGCGTGCTCGGCGGAGTTCTGTCGGCCATTGATCTTGGGCCTCGTACTCATCATCTTCCCCGGATCGTTGCCAGGTGTCGAAGTGAGCAAGCATATCGACATCCATCGTGAAATTTAAGATCCCTTGAGCAGAGTCAACAGTGTACCCGAGCTTAAACGGTACCATTTTCACACCCTGTGATTTAAGCACGTCGACAACCTGCCGATTTGACATCACCAGAAATCCGTCATTCCTAACCCATTTTGAGAATTTCCAAATGACAAGAAGATTAAGGGGCCGTTTATTAAGCGCTTACCTGGTAAGTACTTACTGAGCAATTTTCCTCACCGAATGAACATGGCAAGGGGCAAGAATCTTACCCGGTAAGAGCGATGATAAGGATGGAGAGTCTTACCCGGTAAGTGAGGGTGACGACTCTTACCCGAATAAGCGCTTACCAGGTAAATTGTTGCATAAATACGTTTTGATGTACTACAATTTTACCCGGTAAAATAAATTATAGTGTTGACTCATAACAGTTTACGCTTACCAGGTAAGCATTTAGGTAAACTTCCCTTAAGTCCATCTCCAACAATTTCTCCATAATTTCTCTAAGATTAAGCTACATTTTCGTCCCCATGGTTGCTAAAAATTGCGATTTTCGTCCCTTATCATTTAGAAATTGCGGTGTTCATCCCTATGATTTGTGATTCATTGCTATTTTCGTCCTTATAATTTACAATTTATTGTTGTTTACAATTCTTTATTGCTTTGGTCGCTTGTACTTAAAGGTCGGAATTAGTTCATGGACGGAAATAACAATAAATTACAAACCATAGGGATAAAAATCACAATTTCTAAACCACAAGGACGAAAATCATAAATTAGTCTTAATTATATAATCAAAATATTCAATCAAAATACACAAAATGAAAAAGGTACACAGTTTTAGTAACATCCATGATGAAGAAGGTACACTTTTAGTCTTTTAGAGAAGTGAAATCATATCCTTTTTAATTAATGATATGACGGTTTTACCCTTAATGAATGATAAGTTATTAAAGAATTATTCAATCTCATAATTAAAAAATAGAATTGTTAAAATAGACACTCAGGGGTCGTTTACCAAACACTTACCCGGTAAGCGTTTATCGGTAAAATTTAACACTACCACTTACTTATCGGGCAAGACTTTAATCGACCTAAACGGCATCGTATGCAACAATTTACAGAGTAAGCGCTTACCATGGTAAGAGTCATCGTCCTCACTTACCGGGTAAGATTCTCGGTCCTTGTCTCCCTCTTACCAGGTAAGTCCTTACCATATTCATCCAGTAAGGTAATGTGACTTGGTAAGCGCTTACCCGGGTAAGCGTTTGGTAAACGGCCCCTTACTAAAAGTGAACGTTCAGTTTGATACGCACTAAAATAGAAAAATGTGGACACTTATTTCGGAGAAATTGACTAACCCCTTAACCAAATTCACTTTTTAGCTACTTTTGTCATCGAATTCTCATTTTAGCCAAAGCTTACACAAATGCCTTATGCATTTGCATAAAGTCTATTTTCAGATTAAAAGAAAAAAGAAAAACTAGCTCTTTACGCAAATGAAAATCCTTACAATTTTTTTTTACGTAAATGGGATCCTTACACAAATTCTTTACTCAAATCACGCAAATTTGCGTGAACTTTTTTTAACCCTGAAAATAGTTTTTAGGCGATTGCGTAACCCATGGGTAAAATGGGAAATTGATCGGTTAAAAAGTGAATTTGGTTGGCAGATTATATTCATTAATATAAAAAGCAATCCTATCACCTCCATCTCGGCGTCCTCGAGATATCCTACGGTAAGCTTCGTGATGTCTACAGAAAACGGGTCGTCAAGCAAGATCTTTCTTGACGACAAGTCGTCAGGATCTTTACCTCGAATAACGTCTAGAACAATCGCGCAATCAACAGCACTTCTACATAACGGGCCAAGTTTATCCTTTTGAAAGGAAAAAAAAAACGATTTCGTTGTTAATAACAGAACATAACATAGCAAATCGAGCACCAAGAGAGGGACCGAGCAGTACCAGGCTCTCAGACAAGCTCAATACACCGGTTCGACCAACCGCACCGAAGGTTGGCCTCAATGCAGTCACACCACACCGGGCCGCAGGGTAAGTTATTGAACCAGCTGTTTCCGACCCAATTGCAAATGGAACCATACCGGCTGAGGTGCAAGCAGCAGGCCCAGCCGATGAACCAGTAGTGAACTCCTCGATGTTCCACGGGTTTCTGGTTCGACCGCCAAACCAGATATCGTCATATGCTAAAGAGCCCGTAACCAGTTTCCCAATGAGAACCGCACCTGCAGACTTCAATCTGCAATCGGAGTCGTAAAACTCACAAATAGACATTTTTTTCGAAGTATATAATATTTATATTGAATTACAAATTTGGTCCCGCGGTGTTCCGAAAATAACACTTTTCATCCGTGCAGTTTCAAAACTACAAGATGGCCATCGTGGTTTGAAAAAACGTTCACATTTGGTCCCTGGCTCTAACGGCCGTTAAAAGATTAAATGAGGGACACTTTCGTCTTCTTATCGATTTTATGATTTGGTCCCTTCAGTTTTTGATTGGGTAAATGACAAAAAAATGATAGAAGACGAAAATACCCCTTCTTTTAACAGAAATTTTTAACGGCCATTAGATGAAGGGACCAAATTCAAACATTTTTGCAAACCATGATGGACATTTTGTAATTTTGAAACTGCATGGACGAAGAGTGTTTTTTAACAAACCACAGGGACCAATATTTGTGGTTTACTCCAATATTTATATACGGCAAATACTCACGCGCACACTTCATCTTTGGTGAGGTTTGAACATTTGACCTCCTGAAAAAGGTTGGGCTCTACCTGTAACCCGGGTACCAGTGGGTCAATGACCCTTTGGTTGCAACAATATTTACCAGACACATGGGACAGTCTCGGGCCCATACCTCTTGTAAACCCAAGCCTCAATGTCGAGAACTTGATCTTTGAATGTAGATGAACCCCATGTAGTTTTGTATTCCGGAACTGCAATTATGTCCTTTAGCCCATACGGTATCCCATGAAGCGGGCCTATCATTTCAGAAAATTCTCGTTAAAAACCAAGTCCTCATAAACGTTTTCCGCTAATTTGCTGTACCCCACATGAAAGCTGTGGCCAGCAAAAGCCCGGGCTGTCTAAAGCTTGGCCTAAAAATGCCCTAAAAAACCCAAGCCTGAAAATGCCCAATCGGGCCCATTTTCACATTCAAAGCCCAGGCCCGCAAAAGCCCGCACCAAAAAGCATGACCTAAAGCCCAGCCTGAAAATGACCAAAACAACCCAAGCCTGAAAAAGCCCGATTGAGCCTATTTTCACATTCAAAGCTCGGGCCCGGCTTGGAAGTCCCGGGCCTTGTGCATCTAGTGCACTATGCACATAAGTTTTAACTCTTTTCTATCATCTTAACTAGTTCAATACCTAAGTAAACGCCTTGTGCGAGTAGTTGATCGGCCTGCTTTGCCTGCTTGTAGGCGAGATCCTCAGTGATAGTGATCACTGCCTCCAAAACCGGATTGTACCTATCGGATCACCGAAGCTCACCATTACATAAAAGAATGAAAAAGAAAACAATATTTTCACGATTTTACAGATAAGGCGAAATGCATCAAAAGGCAACAAAGTTTGATTCACTCGGTTCATATTTAGTCGGAGGAATATCTTTTCCCTTGATTGATGTAACGGAGTTTCATTCAAGCTTTCCCGTTCTGTACTCATTTTGAGCAGTTACTTGGTGATCTGATAACATTTGATGACATTGATATCCGATTGTGAAAGATTTACAGAAAAGTTATGGCAAAAACTTGACATTCTCGTCATTAAATGTATCAAGGTAACACCGGCCAAAATAGATATAAAAAAAAACCCTTGAATTTTTTACATAAAATTAAGAAGAAGAAAAAAAAATCTTAGTTAAATTTAAACTAGGAGCATTTTCAAACTTCGTCGCATTTCGATAAATTTTGCGCTTACAGATAGGACTGTTAACAAACCGAACAAACATGAACGGAGGCTTGTTCTTGTTCGTTCGTTTAACTTAACCGAATAAACGAACACGAATGATAAACGAACTAGATTTTTTGTGTTCATGCTCGTTCGTTAAGAAAATGTGCTTGTTCGTGTTCGTTCGCTAAGATGCTAAACGAATGAACATAAACGAACAAATAAAAATAAACAGAAAGCAACCGCCAATAAGCATCATTCCGACCCTCGAAAATAACATAACAAAATGAAAAAGCGGGTAAAATTATGAGGGGTAAAAAAGGAATTCTAAAAAATTAATTTAATTAACACTTTTACCTATTAATGTCATAATATATAAATATATATATTTATGCATATAAACAAACATAAACGAATGAACTTTCACGAACATAAATGAACAAACAAGACCATCGTTCATGTTTCGTCCATTTAACTCAATGAACAAAGATACGTGTTCATGTTCGTTCATTTATTAAAAAAAAAACGAACATAAGCGAACTTCCTACCGGACAGCGGATGGTTCGTGAACGGTTCGCTGAATGTTAGGTTCGTTTATAGCCCTACTTATAGATATTTGTAAGTTTTAGGGGTTCAAAGTATCAAACACATCCACATGGCCATAGTAAGCCGTAAAATTACCTTTTTAGCCTCTTCAGAAAAATCCCAACAAGCTCCTCCGAGGTAATTTTTTCCGTCTGTATAAGATGTCCGAGTTCAAGAATCTATAATCACACATTTTCCACAAAACCATTGATGAGAAGTAAGATTAGCATCATATCCAGCGACAATTGGATTTATTTTAGGAACGACTAACTTACAGTCATGAAGGCGATATCTTCATCGTTTTCAGGCCTCGTAACACCAAAAACCGAAGGATAGTTAAATCTCTTAGCATCATCATGTGGTTCTTCGTGTTTCCACTCGGAATTGAAAACTAAAGGAGAAGGGTACTTTAATCCTCCATTGGTGGTAGCCACTATTTTCCGATTGGCTTTATATACGGGAATATTGAGCTCTTTGGCACCCTTCTCGATCTCGAGCATCTACATTCGACAAATAGTAAATATCTCTGGTGGTGCACAAAGCCATAAACGCATATTTTTCATACCCATATCGGATATCCAAATTCGTGAAAATATTCGGGCAAAATGCATCAAAACGGAACGAAGTTTGTCTTAGGTCCTATTTGACGTAACAAATACTCCCTCTGTCCCAAATCAAGCGTCCACGTTGAAAATGACACAGTTTTGGCATATAATTATTACACTTTTTAAATAACTAAATGACACATTTACCTTTGATAACAGAGAGAAACTTTCTCCATCTCAAAATCAAGGGTAAATGGGAAAGTGAAAACTTATTTTGGGACAAGCTAAAATGAAATGTGGACACTGAGGGGCCGTTTACCAAACGCTTATCCGGGTAAACGCTTACCAAGTAACATTACCTCACCGGATGAATATGGTAAGGACCAAGAATCTTACTCGGTAAGAGTGAGACAAGAACCAAAAGTCTTACCTGGTAAGGGAGGGAGACGACTCTTACCACGGTAAGCGCTTACCGGGTAAATTGTTGCATACGACGTCGTTTTATTGGACTAAAATCTTACCCGGTAAGTAAAAAAATAATGTTAAATTTTACCGGTAAGTACTTGCCGGGTAAGTGTTTTGTAAACGGCCCCTTAATTTTTAAAGAAGGGAGTAATTTTTTTCTCAATCGATGCAACAAAATCTCATATGTTCTTATTTAATGTAACATTTGACGACATTGATTTCAAGTTTATCTTCAACTTTGTCGTAACTCTTTCGTTAACATTTCGTAAGTGGGTAGCACACGGGTCAAAAATGTGTACAAAATTGGAAATTTGAAACTCATTTACATCGACTGAATGAAGTCTTTGTTACTCTAAATAGGAACTGAACCAAACTTTGTTGCATATAGATGCATTTTGCCCGTCCAACAACTACTCAAGATTGTACCAAAGGGTCATTGGGCCAATGGTACCCAACACTACAACAAAATTGGGTTCATACCTGACCCTACAAAAAAAAGGGTTTATAGGATGCTTAAAATGCTGAAGAGCCCCAATAACATATTTTATAGGACTTAAGTTTATAGAACAAAACTATAAAGCGTCCTTTAAAAAGTGTTACAATAGGTTTATATGACGCTTTTAGGCGTCTTAACAAGTTTTTAAGACGTTTTTAGAATAAAGTGTCATGTTAACTATTTTATAGGACACTATTTCAATATTCATCCTATAAGCACAAGTGTCCTATAAAAAGATGAGTTTATAGGACATTTCTCAAAAATGTCCTATAAAATAGCTAATACGACACTTTATTTTAAAAGTGTCCTAAAATACTTGCTAAAACACCTAAAAGCATCCTATAAACCTATTGTAGCACTGTTAGATAGGAATTTATAAAGTTTAGTCCAATAAACTTGAGACCTAGTATGCTATTAAGACGCTTAAACATTTCAGACGTCCTATAAATCAAATTTTGTTGTAGTGCAAGGTACCGGTAGAGCCCAACCTCCTATGACATCGAGGGTTCAAACCTCACCAAAGGTGAGGAGTGTGCGTGAGTATTTGCCATATATAAATATTATATACTTCAAAATACATATTCAAGATCGTTTTGGAAGTACAACAAACATAAATGATCAAATATGAGTTGTTTAGCTCTTTGGCTCACAAGTTTATGATGTTACTCCATCCGTTCCAAAATAAAGGTCCACAATGAAACCGACACATATTAAACCCGGTTTTGACTCTGCTTTGAAAACTCGGGTTTTTAACTGCCGTATGGCAGTTTTCGACCGTTTGAGGGGAAAAGCCATGAATTGGTCATTTGATTTTTTCGGTACACAGATTCATAACACAAAAAACTCTTTGTTCGGGAAAAACCACTGAATTTTATCCGGTTGAGATTTCGATTGTACCATCGAAATACTTCAATCTGAAAGTGATACACGACTTTATGTGGAATCCAAGCAATCGAAAACCAAAAAATTTAACAAAAACGACACTTTTACCCTTGATAATAGAGACATAAACTTTCTCCATCTCATAATTAACGATAGAACATGGACAATTATTTTGGGACAAACTAAAATAAAAAACGTGGACACCTAAGTATTACCTTACTGTCATTGAAGAAGTCTGCATCCAACATACTAAAACCAGATTTAAGGCGTGAAGCATCATCGACCTTTTTGAAGCATTTTTCATGGCTAGAAAACTCAGGACTTGCACTGTCCTGATCGAAAGATCAACGCGTTTAGTGGCAAAAAAACGATACATACGATTAGGGCTGTAAACGAACAGAACGAACAAGAACGGAGGCTTGTTCATGTTCGTTCGTTTAACTTAATCAAACAAACGAACGAACACGAACGGTAAATGAACGAAAATCTTTGTGTTCGTGTTCGTTCGTTTAGAAATCAGGTGTGTTCGTGTTCGTTTATGTTCGTTCGTTAACATGCTAAACGAACGTAAATGAACGAATATAGACGAACGGACCAAACAAACATAAATAAATATTATTTGAATTCAAGTAAATAAACAAAAGATTATGTATTAAATTTAATATATAAACGAATATAAATGAACGTAAACGAACGGTAAATGAACGAATGTTCATGAACATAAATGAACGAACGAAACTCTTGTTCATGTTCGTTCGTTTAACTAAACGAACAAATTTTTTTTGTTCATGTCCGTTCATTTATTAAATAAACGAACATAAACAAACTTCCCGTCGAACGGTTCACGAACGGTTCGCTGAACGTTCGGTTCGTTTACAGCCGTACATACAATACAAAAGAGACGGGGAGTTTGCATTATAGCAGTCTATTGATGCATTTGTTACCTGGACAAAATGGTCCTAGAAAGACTTGGAACTTTCTGAAACAACAATTTTCCCATTTTATTATACGTACTCACCTGCTTTGCAAATGTTAGAGTAGAAATATGCATCTTGTTTTGAAACTAGGGCGAATGTGGCAAACGGTCATTGACCCAGCGGCACCCGGGTCTATGGTAGACCCAACCTCCAGGAGGTCAACGGTTTTAGACCTCACCCGGGTCTATGGTAGACCCAACCTCCAGGAGGCCAACGGTT